TTAAAAGATATATGCTTAAAACGTTATTCCCAATAACGTATTAGAGTTAAAACGTGATTCCCAGTTACGTGTTATTATTTAACGCCGTTAGCAGTCCGTCTTTTTCTCATTAAATTTTTTAAAATAAAATAAAGCATAAAACGTTACTGTGGACTACGTTTATACTAGTTTCGTAAAAAAATTTAAAAACATACTATTTTGGTGAATTGATTTAAACAATGGCTTATTTTGGTCAAAACTTCAGTTTTATAAAATAGTAAAAAATTAGATATATCATAAATACAAGCAATATTTTCAGGTCAAAGGAATCAAAGGAGAATTTCTTTTGATATTGTGGTTACACATTCAGAAATTCATCACAAGACCTAAGTTTGTCATATGCTTCGTCAAGAAATATCGAGCAGCTTATCACCAGATTGACGCTTGGTCCTAAAATGGTGTCGGGCGGAGGCACTGCTATCCCTCTTAATGAATCAAATGATCCTTCAATCTTCGTTTGCTTGAGATCAGCTCAGTTCACTATTACTACGAATAACATTCTTTGTCCCATACTTTGAGATGCTTCTCCCCGTCAATCAAGAGTAAATAATGAAGAGGTTGAATTCCATTTGAACTAGAGTAAATAATTATAAATACTTTAAAATACTAAATTTTCAAGCATTATCACAATTTTTATTTTTTAATATTTTCAAAAAACAAATTGGATCTACAATTAACAAGCTTCCACGCAATAGCTCATTGGAACAACTAAGCATTTTATACGAATTGAAATTCCATTGACATATATAAATAAATAATTAAATAATTACTTTATTTTGAAGACAACATTAATGCACCATAAAAAAATAATGAAAAAAATTCAGAAACTTCCCGGAAAACATGCCATTTTGAAGTACTTGTAGATTTATGGTAGTGTTCAATTATAAATTAATGTATTTAATTAAACTAAATTAATTAAAAATAAAGTACAAAATACATTGACCAAATAAAATGAAATTAAAAAAAAACGTATTAATGGGGAACTCAAATTCCAAAGTCCAAGAATAAGTCAAATGATGGGTGCATAATATCTGGATTAATTGCAAATTTAAGCATCATACCCACTTAGAAATTGTGTTTTAATTAAGTTGTTAATTAATTAAATATTTGCAAATTTGTATTATTAAATTGGACAAATCGCTAAAATTCCGCTGCTATTTTTCCCTCTCTTTGCATTAATTGCAAGTCATTTGAAATTTGAATTTATTGTATAGTTTGTAAAGCCAATTTGAATGCATATATATAGTGTATATGCTCAATATTCAAGAAGTTTGGTACAACTACAACTAAATAATAAAGAAAAATTATTACCAATTTTTTTTTATAATAAAGAAAAATAAAAGGTACACAAAAGTAATGGGATCACAGAAGAATATGAAAAAGGAAAAAAATAAAAACTATATATACTTAAAGCAAATGAGAATGATATACTAATAAATCGAAATTCGTTTAATGCATAATGTGCAATTTTAATTCAGAAAAAGCTTCAATAGTTGATTTTGAACTTATTTTTGTAAATTACCTAATTATCTTGTGTCACGTGAGATTTTTTTAAAAAAAAAATCAACATAAAAAGCACAATGACTTGACGTCATTCTCAGCTTCCTTCAGTTTGTTACCACAATCTATTCAAGACTTTAAACTCAATAATAACAACTAAACACAGTTAATCCGTGTGCATATAACATGTTAATTTGTAAATATATACATGGATTAACTCATCTTTATTGGTTCATTAACTCATCATTCAAAAGAAAAAAATAATATTATTTTAATTTTAACTAAAGTAAAATTTTAAATGCTATAAAAAGCCCGACAAATAACACACCGTCGTAATTAAAAATTTTACTTGCCAATTTTGCCCTTTCCGCATTTTCACATTACCACCGACATCTTTCATAATTTTTAACCTACTACTACGGCGCCGGCGGGTCAAATAACAAGTGGCATTTTCGCTATTTCTCCGAACCGTCTGCCCTTTTTCACAAACATCTAAAACTTTAATAAAATAAAATAAAAAATATGAAAAGAAATATAAAAAAAAGGAGAAAAATAAAATGGGGACCTATACTCGTGTCTTTTACTTCTCAACCGCAATTAACGGCAAGTGTTGATAGATGAACAAAATCTTATTTATTTTTCTACTTTTTGAAAAGTAATAAATATTTATTTAGCATTTAAGTTATATACATTGTCAACATAATATTTTTAGAAAATATTTAATAATTTTAACACGTAATAACGAGTTAAATATCATGTTTATCGGATTACTATAATAAGAAAATGGACGATTGACGTAATTCAACCTTAAAAACAAATTCAGTAGATTGGAGTCCGACTAAATCTGGATTCGCGTAGAAAAGTCTTATATTGAGGGGTTAAAGTGCTCTCTATAAAAGACGACTTCATATCCAAGAGACTCAAACTCAAGACTTCTGTTTAAGAATGAAGGATTACTTACAACTCTACCACAACATTTGTTAATTAAAATTATTCTATTCACTAATGTGAGGTTACTATATCTCCGACACCTCTATATATACTAGATAAAATTGTCATCTCACTCATCGATATGAGACTACTAACTCCGAAAGTTGATTCTGGTATCAATGGTAAGAAAATAAATTTTGAACCAAACTTAACTTTGAAAGTTAACTTAGAGAGGTGAAAGTTATCCGAACATATAAGTAAACAAATTATATAAATATTTTTAACACTATTATATATAGCACCAAAACAAAAACTCATTTTTTACTCAAATAACCAAAAAAATAAATAGCAAAATAATTAAATAAATAAATTGGGGACCTATTCTCGTGTCTTCTAGTTCAACCGCATTCAACGGCCAATTTGGTTTATTTTGTACTTTTTAAAAAGTGAAAACTTTTTAATTAAATACTAAAAATAAAATAAATAAATAATTCTATGAAAAGTAATGAGAACAACAAATTAAAAAGCACGTCACACATAATAACTCAAAAAGGCAAAAGCTCCGTGATTACCGGCAAACACCGGTTATGTAACGGTCACGGCAAGTTTAGCAACACACTAATTACTAATTAGAATGTTAATGACGTGTTTTAATTAAGGATTAGTCAATTTTGATTTGTTTAGTATTCTTACGAGTCAACTTCTTTGTCATTGACTCAAAATTTCTAGTGAGTTATGACATTAAATTGATGAATTAGTTCCTAATAAAATGCACTTTTATTGGTCGTTTATTATAGTTGTTATATTAATTTCGTTATCTGTTATAGTCTGATACATATAAATAACTAAAAAGACAATTTCATAGAAGAAAATGCAATTTTAGTAAATACTGACAAGTGACAATACAAAGTTGTACATCACAGCTTCATATATTTAACGAAATTTTTGAATAAGTTTATGAAAAGATTGAAACATAAAATACTAAAAGGAGCAGTTAAATCTCTTCACTTTTTAATCGTTAAGTTATAAGAATTATAATCTACGACAAAAAGAAAATGTTTGAGCTAAAAATTAGATAAAAATGCAAATATCAACATCATTGGATAAAATAATTAAGGTAAAGAAGCAACAAATTGGATTTTCTTTATATGTTGCAATATACCTAACAAAAAACCAAACATTAAAATCGAAGTGAGGAATTATCAAACAAATTAAAATAAAAAAAAGTAGATTGTGATGCACTAGTAAATATTTTATTTAAATGGTAGTATATAATATAGACTATAGATTTGAATTTTAGGAATATATATTTATAATTATTTACCTATTATAATAATAATATAGCAAATGCATGATAGTCTAAAAAGAATTGACTTAAAAACTACAAATATGTCATTCTATGCGTATGCTCGGCCAAAAATTATTAAATTCAAAGGTGAATGTCGAGTGTAAGTTCTAAGGTTATTCGAATTCAATAATTTTAGTTCATAATAGATAGTTTTGTGAATATAATATAATATTTATTTATTTATTTTCGATCTTTTTGGATTTTATCTTTGACTAAAATATTAACTTTTCAACTTGGTAAAAGAAAAATGTAAAAACTTGCACACTGTTCGAATATTATTTCTAATAAGCATTCCATTTGTCAATGCCAATTTTTTTTCCACATACAAAATAGTAATGACTCTTTTCTACCTTTTGAATTTTGTCCCTATGTTTATAGTTTTAGGATTATTCATGTTTTTGTCGTTAGCAAATCATTTCGTATTTTCTTGATATTAGTGAAGCTCTCACGCAAAATGTATGAATTTCACGTGATGACGTGAAAACTAAAGTGATATAAAAGTCCAAATTTACCTCACGAATACTTTTGAAAAGGTTTAAATTACTGTCTGAGATAGTTTAGAGCTTTGTTAGAGTCGTGACAACTACTAGATAATTTGCACAATGATAAAAAAAATCAATGTACCTCGATTATCGTATCATTTGTTGTTTTTACCGTTCCTTGTTATTTTGAATGCTAATTAATGCATTTCCTATTTGTTATGCTCGTTTTACTTCTATATTTCTTTTACAAATAACTTTGATATGTTTTACTTGAGTCGAGGGTCTTTCGAAAATTACACCAGGTATGTTACTATAATTGTAAACCTAAGAATGCTACACTAAATTTTGCAATTTCTTTAAATACAACTCCTTATATTAAATGAGACATCATTGTTATTTTTAATTATTAGTGTGAAACATAGAAACATTACACAGACATTTTTCTGAAACTCTTTTGACTATTTAATTTCTTCCTAATAAACACACTTTTTTCTTCTTCTTTCTCGTTTTAGTAAATAAAATTTAATTTAATTTCATCTTCCCCCTAAATAGTCAGAACAAAAGCACATGGCACTATACCCCTACCATTTTTTTTCCATTCCCACAAATTATTTTAATTTTTTTAAAAAACAATTTTAAAAAAATAAAATAAACTGCATTAATTTTTTTTTTGGCACTTTGTCTTCCCTCCACCATATATACTCCTTCAACCTCTTCTCTTTATGCTCTCAAATTTCACAAACTTCATTTTATATCAAAGGGCTTAGTTTATCAGTAAGTTTTTATCTGATAAACTAACCAGCATTGCCCATTACTTGTAGTTATTTGTATACAAAACAACAGATCTGCACAGTGAAGTGATTTTTACCCACAAAAAATGAAGGGTTTTGTTGGTTCTCTGGTTTTTCTGATTATTCTTGTTGTTCCAGTAGCATTAGCTGGGCATAATTATGGTGAAGCTTTGAGTAAGAGCTTTTTATTTTATGAAGCTCAGAGATCTGGGTATCTTCCTCATAACCAGAGAGTTCAATGGAGGGGTAATTCTGGACTTAATGATGGAAAAGCTAGTGGGGTATGTAATAAAATTACTCACTAATTAGCTATTTGTTAGTTGTAAATTGTTTGTGATGAATTTGAATTTTGAATTTTTTTTTGTAGATTGATTTGGTTGGAGGGTATTATGATGCTGGTGATAATGTGAAATTTGGTTTACCCATGGCATTTACTGTCACAATGTTATCATGGAGTATTTTGGAATATGGTAGACAAATGGCTGCTAGTGGTGAACTTAGCCATGCTATGGATGCTGTTAAGTGGGGTACTGATTATCTACTCAAAGCTCATCCTGAACCTTATGTTCTTTACGGAGAGGTAAAAATTTATCCGCACCCGATTTTTATCGTTTAATCATTGTGTTAGAGTGAGTGAAAGTTTTAATACAAGACTGACGGTCTGCTTATATGAAGTTGTTCTGTTAATGGTAGATGTCCTTTTTGTTAGTTCATTTTCGTTTGTATTAGAGTGAGTTTCATATTTAGTTTGATATAAATATCGAGTGCGAGTAATTACTTAGCTAGACACTTAAGTGGAGTTTGTATGTAAGGTGATTGAGCTAATGATTTTACTTGTTTTAATAATATTAGTGTTTGTTATGTGTTTAAAGTCCTTTTCAATGGAATAAAAGTGTCTTATTAACTAACTAACTAATATTATTATAATAGACATAAAATTGGACCAAATGGAATGTTGATTTGTGTAAATTAAAGTTTAATTTAGATTTAGTGGTGAATTAACTAATTTTAATTATGATTATGTTAGGTGGGAGATGGTAATACGGACCATTACTGTTGGCAAAGACCAGAAGATATGACTACATCAAGAGCTGCTTATCGAATCGACCCGAACCATCCCGGGTCGGATCTTGCCGGTGAAACAGCCGCCGCTATGGCGGCTGCTTCCATCGTCTTCCGTCGTTACAATCCGGGTTATGCTAATGAACTCCTTAATCATGCACATCAGGTTAATTAATTTTTTTATTAATTATGATTTATGATTCTAATTATGATTAATTTAGTAATAAATTGGCTCGGTCTTCAGTGTGTAGAGTAGACTGTAGAGTGAGAAAGAGGTGTAGGTTAGTTAGGCGTTGGAAAAAGTGCGCATGTTAGTGAGGGCCCCGAGTAAATAGGCAGTTACGATTAGCTCAGCCTTTTTGTCGGTGTAGGTTAGTTGTGGGGGCGTAATTTATTACTCTTAACGCCTTTCTATGCTCGTAATAAATAAATCCTCATAATAATAAAATATTTTAACCGGCGCAGGTTAGCAGTAAATTTTTTTGACCGAATTTTGAAACTTGTGATTTGAAAAATATAATTAAAATATGAGTATTAACTAAAAAGGTAGTTCGATTCACTAATTATTTATTTTCACACATGGTTCGAAAAAGAATCGCAACCAAAGAATGTAGTTTACACTTTACATACAAGTATTTATGACATTAACTAATATATGTAAATTAAAAGTTTAAAGTTAAATATGACGTTATTTTCACACTATCAAAGATTCTAAACTTTTTTGTTGAAAAAAAAAACTTTATTTTATTCGTTCCCTCAAAATTACTCAATGAGAATAGTCTTACGACATTGTGGGTCTTGTCCTACCTTTTTAAAAGGTAAAGGATCCATGTGCATTGAGTTATGTTAGGTCAAGGCCCATATTAGTTACAACTATATACTTGCACACTAATGTTTACTTCGAGTCGAGATTTTATCATAAATAACTAAGATAAAGTAATTATTAAATATAACGATAAGTCTTGCATACATATCATTCTCCTTTGTAACACAAACACGATTCCATAAAGGAGCGGTTTTTCTTTTGATGGATTTTTACATACAAATTCGAATTAGTTCGGATCAATTTATTTTTTTTCATTTTATTACAATGTGAAATAATTAAATTTGAAATAATAATAATAATGAGCATTGATAATTTTTATCTGCCGGTATAAATGTTAGCAAAAATCTTTCGGCGCAACAAAAGGATCATGGTGGGGCCCAATAGATTTTCCGTCTATCACGGGTAGTGTGTTAACAACCGTCTGATTACTACTCGTTGAATCTCAGCCGTATATCTACTTTTATGATCCTTAGTCATAGCTTTTTCCACGTGATGTGGATTGTCGGTGCAGTTGTACTGTACAATCACTTAATGCACACCTTCTTTACGTTTTATTTAGTTCCTAATATACCCTTGTTGTTCTGATTTAATTACGTTATTTGTTGTTTTCAGCTGTTCGAGTTTGCTGATAAGTATAGGGGCAAATATGATAGCAGTATTAGTGTGGCCCAGAAGTACTACCGATCTGTCAGTGGATACGCGGTACGTGATTATAACTCTTTTTTTCGAGTTAATAAATCCCTCGTTAATATTTAATTAAAGTATATTATAACTTTTAATAACTTGAAATGTTTACATTTGATCATTTTTTGTTTTTATGATATATTCCCTTATGTACTTATTCATGTGTTATGTAAAATTCGTACAAAGCCGTCCAAGTATAACATAGTTTCTATGTGAAAAAGATTAAAATGGTACGTTTTAATGAAGTGAAGGTTAAATATGTTAAGTCGTATATATTACAAGATCTAAAATCAGAATTTAAATATAATTGAGTGACTAAAAGTGTTATTTTAGAAAATTTTTGTTTGTCATTTTTGCTTTTTTCATGTTTTATGTGTGAGTTGTGAAATTCATTAATTAAGTGATAAATATTACTAATTAACTTACCCTCCATCTTTAATTAGTTTGAGTTGTTTTAACAGATAAAGTTGAACAAGTAAACAGATATGTCTTTCGCGTGCACACATGGCAACTAATTTTTGGTTATTTTTTGTTGTTACAGGATGAATTACTATGGGGAGCAGCATGGTTATACAAGGCATCAAACAATCAATTTTACTTGAATTATTTGGGAAGAAATGGTGATGCCCTTGGTGGAACTGGTTGGTCCATGACTGAATTTGGTTGGGATGTCAAGTATGCTGGTGTCCAAACTCTTGTTGCTCAGGTAACAAAATAAAAATCCAATCTTTTGTTGTCGTACACGTGTCGAATCATCCAAAATGTATTACTTTTGGAGGATTAGAACACACGTGATGACATTTTTGAAGAGTCTGAGTAACTTAGTTGACACCGATCACTCCGTGAAGATAAGCTAATTGGTATTATATGTTGGCAGTTCTTGATGTCTGGTAAAGCTGGTCATAATGCACCTGTATTTGAGAAGTACCAGCAGAAAGCAGAGAACTTTATGTGTTCATGTCTTGGAAAGGGTGACAGAAATACCCAGAGAACTCCTGGAGGTCTCATCTATAGGCAAAGATGGAACAATATGCAGTTTGTTACTAGTGCTGCATTCCTTGCCACTACTTATTCTGACTATTTGGCCTCTGCTGGCAAATACCTCAAGTGTTCTTCTGGTTCTGTTTCTCCGAATGAGCTCCTCTCATTCGCCAAGTCTCAGGTAAAGATATTAACTTTGATAGAGTGCTACAAGTCTGTATAATGACGATTCATCATAAATTGATAACTAGCAATGTGTTCTTGGTGAACTTATCATCATGTTTGATGTTGTTCTAGGTGGACTACATTCTTGGTGACAACCCAAGAGCAACAAGTTACATGGTGGGATATGGAAACAATTACCCGAGACAAGTACACCACAGAGCTTCCTCCATCGTCTCGTTTAAGGTTAATCCTAGTTTTGTTAGCTGCCGGGGAGGCTATGCTACCTGGTATAGTAGAAAGGCAAGCGATCCTAATCTCCTTACTGGTGCTCTTGTTGGTGGACCTGATGCCTATGACAACTTTGCTGATCAAAGAGATAACTATGAGCAAACTGAGCCTGCCACTTACAACAATGCTCCGTTGATCGGTGTGTTGGCAAGACTTCACGCTGGTCACAGCGGTTACAATCAGCTCCTTCCAGGTACAATTTAGTGAATTAACTTCTTAAATGAGTATTCCGAGGATTCATCATAAAATAACTAGTTTTAGCTAGCCGTCCCAACTACAACAACTTGCTTGGGATTGAGACGTTGTAGTAATAACATCTTCGTATATGTCATTTAGTTGTATGTTACAAAGTTTTATGCTGATAATTTTTTCTTACAGTTGTTCCTGACCCAAAGCCAACGCCAAAGCCAGCTCCAAGAACTAAAGTAACTCCAGCTCCAAGGCAAAGAGTACTTCCAGTCCCAGGTATTTTCACTTGCTATTCGTATGTCAATGTATTATATCGACCAATTCTAAATATTGTCATTAGTCGAGTTTCTATCAGAAACAACCTCTCCTACCTCCCAAGGTTAGGGGTAAGGTCTGCGTACACACTACCTTCCCCAGACTAGACTTGTCGTATTACATTGGATATGATGTTGTTGCAATAGTAAAGTTTCGATGGAATCTAATCAACATGTGTATTTTGCAGCTAATGCTCATGTTACTATTCAACAAAAGGCAACTAGTTCATGGGCTCTGAATGGGAAGACTTACTACAGATACTCAGCAGTTGTAACCAACAAGTCTGGAAAGACGGTTAAGAACTTGAAGCTCTCAATAGTCAAGCTCTATGGTCCTCTCTGGGGTCTAACAAAGTATGGTAACTCGTTCATCTTCCCAGCTTGGCTCAACTCATTACCAGCTGGTAAAAGCCTAGAGTTTGTGTACATTCACACTGCTTCACCTGCAATCGTCTCCGTTTCAAGCTACACTCTAGTCTAAAAGAGATCAAGAAGTTAAAAAAAGGAAGTGGAAATGAAATGCTCACACATTTTTCTTGTGGTGCTAATGTAAGACTTGTGCAGCTATACTACTACTACTACTACTACTAAACGGCGGGGTCAAGCAAGTCCTTTCATCGTTCTTTTTTCGTTCTCTTGGAAGTTTGTCTGTAAGTTTCAACGTCTTGTTGGTTTGCTTTTGATTAGGACTATAGATAACGACGTTTTAGGTTGATAATGTGGAGAAGTCGGAGGAAGAAAGGAGTGAAGAGACGAGTTTATACAAGTGCTCATCCTCTTTCTCCTCCACTTTATATATATACACATAGTGTTTGAGAAACAGAGAAAAAGAGTGAAAGGGGTTGTGAAGCAAAGAAAGTTTTGCTTTTTGCTTCTCTATATTATTATTATTATATCATCTAAAGTCTTCATTTACCTTTGTAATTTGAATGCAAGCTTGAAATGTTCCTAATCATTTTTGCATTTCACTTTGTTTTTTTTTGTATTGTGATGTTGTAAGCTTTGTTCTGGTTTTAGTATTCTGTTCAAAGAACAGTTTAGCAACTTGTAATACACCATTTCTGATACTAGATTTTGTCTCTACTTGTTGATGCCATTTGAATTGTTTTCTCTTGAGTCAGGGCTCAGGGTCTATCAGAAACAACCTCTCTACCTCTGCGGTAGGGTAAAAAGTAAGGTCTGCGTACATCCTATCCTCCTCAGCCCCATCTTGTGGGGCTATAGATTTTGTCTCTACTTGTTGATGCCATTTGAATTGTTTTCTCTTAAGCCGTGGTCTATCAGAAACAACCTCTCTACCTCTGCGGCACCCTAAAAAGTAAGGTCTGCGTACATCCTATCCTCCTCAGCCCCATCTTGTGGGGCTATAGATTTTGTCTCTACTTGTTGATGCCATTTGAATTGTTTTCTCTTAAGCCGTGGTCTATCAGAAACAAATTCTCTACCTCTGAGGTAGGGTAAAAAGTAAGATTTGCGTTCATCCCATCCTCTTCAGCCCCATCTTGTGGGTGGGGATATACCTAATATGATGTTGTTGATTGCATTTCAAACACGATTTCTCTTTTATTCATATCTTATGCAAGACATGCGTACTCAATATTTAACTCGATAAGTTTTTGGTACTATGTGTATTTTCTGCATATGGTCTCTAGTTTGAGTTAAAATGGATAACAAGTCTTGAATCCATCTCTGATTATGGCGAAAGACTAACAAAAGTCCTGATTAGGAAACCCTAATTATTTATACTAGACAAATTAAGTTGCTGTGATGGTAACCTCTTAACATCAAAAAAGACATTTCACTACATCACGAGACTGATCAAATCTACCATCCGATTCAGGAGATCTATTCAAATATGCTAAGCACCAAATTTTTATTACAATATGTCATGAAGAAACCAAACATTCTAGTACATATACAGTAAAAATTAGTCTCATCAAACATTAAACCAATCTAAAACAAACCTCTTCTCAAACTATATATACAAAACATTGGACTTGACCAACTATTTTTGTCACTCAACTTGGCAAATAAACTAGTCACCAAAAGTGAGAACCAACACAAACAAACACTAATTTGGTGAAAATTAAAACAAGACAAAACTTTATTAATACTATTCACTCATTTTATCAAAGCTCAACTACTATAACACTAATATTGTCTTTACTTCCCTTAGCAATAGCCAACTCGGCTAAAAGTGCGGCGGCATCCGCCGCACTGTCTCGTTCGGAGAACTTCCTCCGAATCTGTCCGAGACATTTTCTTGCGACGTCGCACGTGACTTCGTTGGACACAACATCCCATAAACCATCTGTGCCAATTACTATGAATTCGTCCAATTCGTTACGTTTGTACACTGTCACTTCTGGCTCTGGTATCACAAATGATTTTAGACAATCATCACCTGTTTAATTGAAACAAATTCCAATGATATTTTGAACTAACTTTTACATGCATCGTTTGGTACGCAAAATAAGATGAAATGTACGTATCAGGATTTAAGTCTAAAATATATCCGATGATTGAATAGAATTATATTTGTCTACTAAATGTTGTATAAATCTTATTTCGTTCAACTTGAGATTATTGTCTCATCTCTCATATGGAATAAATTAATCCAATAATTATAATTTCAGAATAATTTAGTTCACGTGTCAAATGATTTTGACGAGGGAGCAACACGTGTCAATAATGCCTTTAATGTAGCTTATCCGAATTCCGACAAGTGTCACTAACCTACAAATGGACCAATTGTTCATCGACACCTGTTTCAACTTATGATGAGTGTCTCCCTCCGTCTCAATAAGTAGTGTTTTTACCTCGGACACATTCCTTAAGAAAATTATTCACTTTTAAAAAAGTTTTAAAAAAATGCTTAATTATCTTATCCTTTAATTAAATGCTTTAACAACAAAGGTAAAATAAGTATAAAATATTAAATTATATCTTAAATTTTTATAACTGGACAAGTAAAAATAAATGGAGACGTAATTTCAGAAGTGGATAAAAATTTGTACCTATGGATCTTGAAGTAGCAAGGATTCCTTGAACTCTATAACCATTCAAATTTAGAATTTTACCACCTGCTGCTTCTACCCTTTTCTTCTCATCTGATCTATCAGGCTACATAAAAAAAATTATACATGCACAAATAAATTTGAATAATATTGATATAATTTGAACCTATTATATAATAAAAATATGTAGTATATGTCTTGATTTCAAATAACTATATATAATTTTTAGACTATCAGTATATAGAAATTAAATTTTTGTGACTCAATGAGTCTTAGTAACAAATCATGTAAGGGTAATGGCAAAAGATGCTTGTACTCTTAACCACCAAACATAATTTAGGTGATAGATCCTAAATTTCGAGTTTAAATTATGAAAATAAGGAAATTTCCTAACTAGTCATTCGACGCATATATAAATTAGTTAGTAAATTTAAAGTACGATAAAAAATAAAGTGAAGTGGAATTGTTGTAAAGGAGAATGTCTCTAGTAGTGATGCGTGTTGCTCTGACCCCATGTAGTGTTTTTGATTATTACATGAATAAAGTGCGTTGATTGTTGATCTATTGCTATCCTTTCTTCTTTTCTACTCAGATCTACAAAAAAATCATTAAAAATTAGAAAAATGACTTACCTTATGGTCATTAGACAAGGGTATAGCAACACCACGACTACAAAGTATAGCCCTACAATCGCCACAATTAGCTACCACTATTTCTTCTTTCCCCACTATCACCACCACCGCCGCAGACCCCACCGTCTTCCTTCCATCCTCAAATCTACCATCCTCATACCCCACTGTCGTATTCCCTTCTCTCATAACTTCATTATCCATCTTCGAAAAACACGTCACCATCACTTTTTCCCAATCCACTTGACTACTGTTACCACTATCATTATCATCAGTATCATTATCATCATCATTATTATTATTATTATTATTATTCATTAATTTTCTCTTGGCGTTTAATAACTCCTCCTCGAGTACATAATCTAAACGATCACGACATGCCTGTGAAACCCTAGACCCTCCATGACCATCATACGCTCCGAAAAACACAAACTCATTATTCGCTATTTTAATCGACGCTTTTATAGCGTCTTCCATCACTCTCCTCCGTCCGATCATCGATATACATCCATATTTCAACTCTATATTATCATGTGGAATTTTAACAACAGTACTACTACTACCCATCGAGCTCGACTCGATAGCATTAGTAGTAGTAGTACTATTAGACGAACTTTTATCAATCGGTTCATTTTCCCTTAGGCGAAAACGTTTTTTAGGGATAAAATCCCCGTCCTGATCTCGATAAGCTGAAGCTGCGCCATCTTCATCGGATGAATTTGTAGAAGTCATGATACGTTGTTGAAGTTGTTGTCTTTTATGGTACGATTTAAGAATTCTTTTGTGAAAGACATCTCTTGGCTTATTATTTCCTGGATCTGATACCATTATAATTCTACACTTAATAATAATTATTATTATAATACATGTTATAATAATATTGGTAGTATATTTTTTGGTACTTGATGTGTGTATATAATGTAGTAGGAAGTAGTAACCTTGAACTAGACAAATGAGAGAATTTTAATACAAAGTTTGCATTATGGTTACGTAGGGTGGTGGGGGTGGAGGTGGGGGTGGGGTGGAAGAAGGAGAAGCTAAAAAAATAATCAAGTGGCTTAAGGGCTGTTTGGTTAATGGCAAGTTATACATGATAAATAATGCATGAATTATTTAAAAAAATAAAAATTACACGTTTTGTTTGTTTTTTAAAGAAAAAATTGCTTAGTATAATTTGCCATTTTAATTCTTTGAATCTTTGCATGAAATAATATGCAAATTCCTATAATTATATATGACAACAAAAATGCCAACCAAACCATACATATAACAATTAGACATCTATGATCTAACAGACATTTTCTATAACAACATTTCATTATAACATGATTATATTATATACAATTAATTTTTTTATGTTATATTATATTATATGTTCTCTTTAATTGTAAATTAGGAAAAAAAGAAGGGAAAATGATCTAAAAAATACTTTAACTCTTATCTGAAAAGCTAACAAATGAAACACGGAAATAATATATTTAATCGAACGCTAATATGACGAGTAAAAGTGAACGGAGAAAATACGAAAATAATATATTCAGCCGAACGCCGGACACCCGCAATTTGTAATTGCTACGTGTAAATATGAGAGGCAAATAGTGCATATACGTGTCATCTCACCTTGCCACCTTTCCCTCTTTGTCACCAATGACATATTCCCCTTAAAGGCATCGTTTGGTTGCAAAAATAGATATTTATTTTTTAAAAATTAGAGACAGAGTCAAAATTTAAAATTTATGAGTATAAAATTCTAATCTTTTTTAAATTTTTAGGTTTTAAATTAATAATTTGATATTTATATAAAGAATTTCTTACTATAAATTCAGAATCTCAAACAAAAATTACCGAGCTCGTAGCTAATACTCTGGATCCGCCCCTATCCCTACCATCTTAATTGTATTTTTTTTAGGGAAAAGGGTCTGAAAAATACTCCAACTTTGGTCGAAATTGTTGTTACGATACCAAACTTTATGGAAGACCTTTTACCCCCCTACACTATTTAATAGTGTATTTTAAAGGTATATATGTGCCCATGTGGACACATTACTATTTAAAATGATGCAATATTTATGATGTCCACGTAGGCACATATATACCTTTAAAATATACTATTAAATAGTACAGGGGTAAAAGGTCCTTTCCAAAGTTTGGTATCGTAACAACAATTTCGACCAAAGTTGGAGTATTTTTCAGACCCTTTTCCCTAAAAAAAATACAATTAAGATGGTAGGGATAGGGGCGGATCCAGAGTATTAGCTACGAGCTCGGTAATTTTTGTTTGAGATTCTGAATTTATAGTAAGAAATTCTTTATATAAATATCAAATTATTAATTTAAAACCTAAAAATTTAAAAAAGATTAGAATTTTATACTCATAAATTTTAAATTTTGACTCTGTCTCTAATTTTTAAAAAATAAATATCTATTTTTGCAACCAAACGATGCCTTTAAGGGGAATATGTCATTGGTGACAAAGAGGGAAAGGTGGCAAGGTGAGATGACACGTATATGCACTATTTGCCTCTCATATTTACACGTAGCAATTACAAATTGCGGGTGTCCGGCGTTCGGCTGAATATATTATTTTCGTATTTTCTCCGTTCACTTTTACTCGTCATATTAGCGTTCGATTAAATATATTATTTCCGTGTTTCATTTGTTAGCTTTTCAGATAAGAAACTCGTACACTTAATTAACAGCTCAATTTTAAAACTAAGAAAATTAGAATATTTTGTTGTGTATTTTTATCCTTCACGTCAGACACAATAATAATATATTCATTATAATTTCATACATAAATGAAGTTTGAAAATTTTAATACTAGCCTTATCTCCAACCTTATAAAGGTAAAGATCGAGTGTGTTTTCGATAGACTCTAGCTTGAATAAGTTTATCAAAAATCAAATACAAGTATGTAACATAAATACAATATCGAAAAAGTTTTATTGAAAATAACTAAGAAAAAAATAAATATAGTAATAAAAAATAATACGATAATCGAAGTAAATAAAATACCGCTATATATTTTCTGATTTTTAACTAAACAATGTTTTCAAATTTTTCTGTTTTTTTTCTAGCAAACTATATTTATATTTTTCCAGTGCAATATGGACCTCAAGTTCAATATCCAATAAAATGTAGATCAATATGCTGATAATGGATGATTTATGAGTTTTTGAAGAAAAAAAAAGTTTGATATAAAAAAAAGACAACTACGTACTAAAGTATAATTCTTGCAAGAATTTTTCAAATCGTTAGATAATATATTTAATATTAATCATCATTTTTAGGAGTTTACTAAATTTTAAATGAATATAAATAAAAATAAACGAAGGAATAAAATGTTATTTTTATTTTTGGGAAGGTTCGATTTATTATTATTACTATATGATAGACAAGTGTGAATTTTGATGAAGAAAATTCAGCAAACTTATATGAAAATTGGTGCACCTAATTCGTGTCACTCTACCTTAAATCCTGTGGACTATACAAGCCATTTGCTTATACTTGCATGTTCTTTGTTTTTCTAAATTTAGTTTGATGTTCAAAAAAACAAATTTGCTATTGTCATTCCCAAACTCAAATTGACCACTTGTTCATATTTTATCTTATGTCCCACCTTATGCAAAATAAAATTGAGTGAATAGTTGCGAGTTTTTATTTTTGCGAGTTTTACATCTAAACTATCTCACTTTAAAAAAGATGAGGCCATGAACTACCATGAATTCGTTGTGCTATGTAAATTCATTTTTACGAGTTTTTTTTATTTTTCATGCTCCTTTCAGTATATCGTATATTCGATCAAGGTCCTTTTAATTTAAAGGAAGTTATAGTAGGAGAGATGGAATATGGGGGGAGAGGTAACAAGAACACATAATAGTTTAGGTATAAAATTTACAAAATAATAATTATTTAGTTATTTAACAATTCTTTTTTAAAAAAATGATTATTAATTAGTATTACTTTATAACTTTATACATAATAGAAGCATTGTCTTTTCTAAATCTTTTATCTATATAGACGGTTTAGTGAACTAATGAATCAATGGGGTTGCATTTGTTATCTTTATTGAGTAATTAAGAATCAAAATAAATACAAATAATAGTTCGAGACACATAGATAAAGTCGAAATTTCAATTTGTTTTCAAATTAACTTGAAGAGTATTTAGAATCCAATATAAGTAGTACTAAAATAAAAAAATTAAGCATACCAATTGCCATGAGAGGATTAATACACGACTAAAGATTCTTGGATTTTCAACAAAGAAATAACTTTTTAGAAATATATTTGACAAAAAATTTTTGTTCGAAATTCACATTTTTTTAATGATCATCATGCTAGATATGTCATGGCACAAGTGGATTTTGTATGGGCAAGGATGCTATTGTCTCCCTCTAGAGATATAATTTTACGTGTCTTAGAATTGATTTTACTGATATCAGAATAATATATTTTTATTCACTTTAAAATAAAATCAATTGAATTGAAAAAAATCCGAATAGACATAAACAAAAGAAGAATCAATTACTCCAATGAAGAAATTAAAGTATTAATTATAATTAATAATAAATATTAAAGACAAATTAACATATGTTTGATATTTAAGGAATCAAAAGAGGCAAATTTCCAAATTTATATAAATAATATTTGATTCGATACGAAGTTCAATTTTAAGTTAATTTAATTGAAAAACATTGCATCAAAATCTAAGATTTGAGTAGGTTAATATGTCTAAATTGTTGAAAATTTTGGAAGTCGTAGAAAAATATACAATGGAGTCAAATAAAAGAAATACGTAGATGTAATTTTCCATTTATTTACTTAAAATAATTTGTCTTTATTTTATGCACATCATAAATTTTTGAATTCCAAAATAGTCTTCTAAAAAAGAGATAAATAAGTTAGAGACTACTTTTTTGAATACGACGTAATACATTCGTATATATATTATAGAAATAAAATAATTTTGCCCTCTTTGTTTTACTAAATTTGATTTTTGGGTGAGGTGTATATCATCATAATGTAAGAAGACAGTTTTTAGTATGACTAGCTCAACCTTTTACGTGTTTCAATTTGTTTTTTTATAATACTTAGTAAAAATTGTTTTTGGTAGAATTTTACGAGATATATTATTATCATTATTGGTTATTATTCATAATTATCTTTCACACTAACATTTATGTCCATAACATTACTACTATTATACGGAGCAAACTTCTTTCTACTATTGGATCAAGCGTATGTTTAATAATACTAGTAATAATATAATAACAATACATGGATTCGTCCACATCCTTTCTAAGAAGTTTTGGGTTCGAATTTAGAATATAAAAAAGAAAATTACAACTAATTAAACTACAAAGTGAGTATCAAACATTAAGTGAGAAATTAATTAATTTTATATACAGTGGCGGATAAAAAAATGTATGGATTCAATTTATATGAACTTAGTATTTTTCATACAAAACTTAAAAAGTATATCAAAGAAAAATCTCAAAAAAAAAAAGTTAGTAAATAATAGATTATGAACTCACGATTATCCTTCCTTGACCAGTGACTACACGTTATCTTAACTAGTAAGAGGTTTAGAATTGTTAGTACTGTACTCTCAGTTAAATTTATAATATTTTTAAGAGTTATAGATTATATATTTCTTAGGATAACTTTTAATTCATTAAAAGAAAAATTTATGAGACAATAGATTAGAGTGAAAGGAACTTGGATGATTTGGTGCCTTGTTTTTGTGAGTTTTTTTTTTTATCAAGATTTAGATTTTAGTGGATAACTTTTATATTCCTTAGGACTTTTATTTAGATGATTTGAGATA